ACCTAATATAGTATTTACATGCAACATTTTATTTTGTTTTGTTGAGGTTGTTAGAGACAAAGTTCTTACATAGATATTTTCGGTTCTGTATATGTAAATTTAATCTCAAGGTCCGCTCCAGGGGAGAATTAAGAAACTAATATCGAGAGAGGCACTGGTAGAATATTTGCAGTGCCATGTATATGTATTCAAAATGATGGTTCTTACACATCTTGCACAATCACAAAGACAAGCTAACTACACACATCTCACTACAGAAAGCTCACACAGCAAACTCGCTACATACAGTTCACTATACACAAGCTCACAGATACACATACACATGTTCACACAGCTCATTACAGACAGTTCACTGGCATGCACACAATGTCACTAGAAATAGCTATCTACACTCAAGCTCATTGACACAGCTCACTACATAGAAAGCTCAGTGACACACACACAAGCTCAGTGACATACACACACACATACAAGCTCACTACACACAAGCTCACTGACACAAACACACACACAAGCTCACTCCACACACATGCTCACTGACACACACAAGCTCACTCCACACACACACACAAGCTCACTGACACACACAGGCTCACTGACACACACAACTCACTACACAGAAGATCACTGTTACTCACCCCTTGCTATGTACGGAGAGCTGGAAGTTGCCCCATACATAGCATAGGTGCTAACTTTTGCTCCTGCAGTAAGTACTCAGCGTGTGGATTTAGTTGGGAGAAGCTGACACCTGGCTGTAGGGGTTTAACCCTACAATGTTCTATGTCTTCAGAAGGAGGAGGAAATGTGGGCAGAAGCTGTACAAGTCATACAGATTTTTTTTTTTTTAAAAACACTGGTCCTTTAATGGATAGTATACTATCCATCACAGCACTAAAAAAAAAAGTTAGCTACAGGCTTAAAGATTCACAACAAAATCTGTACAATATAATTTTAACTAATATTTTAATTGTTGAGAGCGTGAAAATAAAAACATTCACAGTGATCCCTACAAAGTTCTGAGTAGAAGATTTAGCATGTCACTAGAATTAGGGTACTCACCTCATTTTTTCACACGTTGAAATGTCATTCATCACTTTGGCATCAATGTTTAAATTCTGTTCCCGGGTCGTAAAAAAATATCCCGTGCTACATCCCAGCATCAAGGCTGACAGGGACTTCTTTGTAGCTGCTTTTGTTGCCAAAATGATGCAGGCATGGTGTCATCTTAACATTGTCATTCTATTAGTTTTTTAGCTTTACTATGATAATGCAATATTCCCGGGCTATAACACTAGGTCAAACATGAGACATGTGTCATGCCATGGTCTCTAGTAACCCAAAAGTGTGTTGTATTGTGTATTCTGATAATCAACTTATGTGTTCTAACTATTCTGACTTCTCCATTTCGAACCTTAGCGAGTTTACCCACACTATCCATATTATGTATCCATTTGACCTTGACTTGTCTGTTGACCATTCTGTTCTTTTATACTTTGAGCCCAGCCACCTCTGAGCACTGTTATTGTATTATTCTTTCTGTATGCTGTCCTAGATTTGTCTGTTGGAATGTTACATTATCCTTACAACTACTTTCTAGATGTAGTGTTTGTCAATCTTAAAGTGGCACTGTCGCAATCTGTTGACTTTGACGAATTTGTGAAGACCGCCAATGGTGACCTTGCCACTAGGGGTCTGGTGGCTGGGGGGGCAGGTAAGGTGATTTTCACTTACCTGAACCTGTCCTGTTTTTCTGGGCCTATACAGTTGTGAGGTCTACGGAGAATCCCGCAAGTTAATTCCCTGTAGCTGTAGCTGTGGATATTGACAATTAGACTCCATCCTGAGTCTAAGAAAGTCAGGCAGAGGAGAGGAGGAGTCCCTAGTTTCTCTCTGTATGTCTCTTGACTGGGATTGAATTTTAGTGAATTTCCAACAGGGGGAAAATCTGTTGTGTTTTTTTAATTACGATTAATATTTATTACGATTCTATCTTTATGAAATTCTCAGTTTTTGGGTTTCAGGGTAACAGTGCTGCTTTAATGATACTTTATTTATCATCCCAGAAGGATGAAAGACTAAAACTGATTAGGAATCAAAGCAATTACTCTGAGATGCTGCAGCTAGAGTACCATCCACTGAGCGATCTCACTGGCTGACAATAAGTGATTTAAATGAAACTGTGTTGTAAATCTTACTCTACAAGATTTCATTACTTCACATTTTTATAAATTATCTTTTATAGTTTTATATTGTTTATATTATTCTGCATGAACAAAATGTTCTGTAAATGCTCTCTTTCCAGTGAAGGAGCAAAACATTATACAATATTGCATGTATTGTATAATATGAAAACTCATTAAAAATGTTTTATTGAGAATGTACATTTTTTTTAATTATTACAGGTATGTGGCCAAACAACACACACAATGCAAGCAACAGATTTTGATTGAATGGCTGACAATCAATACAGCCAAACGTAAGGTACTCATTTTCAAGCCCCTTCTGACTTCGACTTATTTAAAGACTACACGCTATCAAGAACAGGTTTAAAAGCAACATCCAGCTGTTTCTTGCTGAAGGTCAAAGGGACAGCAAACCATTACATGGTAATTATTGTTTCATGAGTTCAAAAATGATTACAGAGTAAATTACATTAAAAAGAAATATGCATTTCGTTGCGGTTCTCCAAAGCTTTCCCTTGTCAATCATGTTCTGATTTCACTCACTGTAGAAAATAACAGCTATCTCTTTCAGCTACAGTTTCATTCCAAGCAGCTAGGAATTTTTTTCTTATACTTAAAAAAAAGAAATAGTATACAGTGTTTCAAAAAACAGATCTATTTCTTTTTTGTTTGAATTGCAAACACATAATACACAATCTTGCAAAAGATTATCAGTGTTGTATTTTTTATAGATCCCTACTTATTTTTCTATCACAGATATCAGAATACATTTCTTCCATATAGGAATTGTATTCAGCATTTGATATACTTGTCTTGCTTCCACAAAGTCTACTGACTCGTGAGAAATAGTCTGTATTGTTTTGCTAAGGGATGTTGCATTAGCTGATGAATTACACAGGTTTGTACTCTATTTCTTTCTCTTTCCTTCGCTACATTAATATTGATTATATGAAAGTTGAGTAGCTTGGCCCCAAAGACTTAGAGTTGAAATGGCTCATTGGCTAGAACAATTGTCTTGAATCATCAGGGAGAGTAGTGAGTATATTTGTGTCAAGCTTATTTGCAGTTAATGCTGATTTATCAGAAAGGGAATTTAAATTATTTCAATTTGAATCGGCATTAATGTTTCCTTCTCAACATTAAAGAAACAAACAGGCAAATAAGTCTTTCTGTAATAACTTTGAAGACTTCTCGCCTCCAGTCATCCCATAGAGTCCAGCTTCTATGACCAATGATAGTCACAAAAACAACTTTAGCTTAATTAAAGGGACTCTCCAGTGACATTAAAACAAATCTTTTTTCCTGGTACTGCAGAATCCTGCAGTGCCCCTTTCCCTCCCACACACCATCCAATGTTGCTGAAAGGGTTAAAACCCCTTCAGTGACTTACCTGAATCCAGCGCCGAGGGACATTGGAGCTGGGTCAGGCTCTGCCCATGCTCATGCCCCTCCAATGTCAGCCGGACATTCAATGCTTTCCTTTGGGGATTCCGGTGACGTTGGAGGTCCTCATGCACAGCGTGAGGACGTCCCGCGTCGTTTAAAACTTTGTCTTTACTCCATAAGAAGTCTATAAGTTAGCCGAAACACGTAGAGTCTGTTTTTTTTATTAGATTGTATATATTTTTATGTTGCTGTTTTATTTAGCCTAAGACAATTGTGAAAGTTCCAGCTACCGATATCCTTGGGAATTGGACTGGAGATTACATTTGATGGGCTTGAGATCTGTTTCCACTTTGTAAGTGTGATAATTAAAGCGTGTAATTTCTATTTTACAACAGTGTTGCACTATGGTCTTTGCGATTTCTTTTTATTTGAACCCTTGGATTGCCGAATATTGTTGAATCCATTGACATCTATGATTGATGAGCTTGAAATTTTCTGCTACTCTGTGAGTGCAACCTTAAATGCTGGGGGGCTCTTTTACATAACGTTCTATTTCCATGTTATATTTTTAGGTATATTTGTTTTGTTATTCATAAAAATCTGTGCATTCCTAAATAATGAACTCCCTTTCCCATGCTCCATTGCCAACAATTTTTCAACTCACCCTGCAGCCACTTGCAAACACCTGCATATCATGGATACTCATCCTAGGATGGCATCACACCTATATAATGAAGTCACTTGGGAGAAATCCTGGTGGGTCATTTCAGGTCTGGAGAGCATTGTGATTAGAGGCCACCATTCCAAGCACACACAGTGTAACCAGAGCAAAAGCAAAGTGTGATATAGTTGCATATCAATAGAGAATACAATAGTATAAAAACTGCAACACAACTCAGAAGTAAAATTCACCCTTAACCAGAAATACACTCCAAAAACAGAAGGAAAAAAATACAAAAGCCAGTTGTGCTCTTCAAAATAAATCCATGCATCAGATTTTTCTTAATCTATCAATGGCAGCAATACATCTAACACAAAGGAAACAAAAGCAGAAATAAAAACAGCACGGGGTAATATTTACTTTACAAAAGCAACATTGCACTCACAGCTAACCTTTTCATTATCACGTTAAACCATCATCGGAATCTTCATATTTTGAGTAAATGGGAAAGTAATGTATTAATGGAAAGAATAATAACAATTTTGGTTGGACAGGAAAACTTTGAAAGAAACTAATGACCAATTTATGAAGTAACAGGTAACAGAATTGTTGAATATGTAACACTGACATTTTACCCCATATATTCTATTCCATCATACATATATAATATCCCTTATGTGTGTGTAAACATATATATATGTAGATGTAAAAAACAGATACAATTTGTATCTTGTAATACCTTTTTATTGGACAAACAGAATTTTTAATGACAAGCTTTCAGGAGAACTTCCCTTTCTCAAGTCTCGAGCATTTCTATAGACTTGAGAAAGGGAGGTTCTCCGGAAAGCTTGTCATTAGAAAATTCTGTTAGTTCAATAAAAAAGGTATTACAAGATACAAATTTTATCTGTTTTATACAACTACACCACTGGACTAAAACAGCTACAATCTCTCCCTTGCTGAAAAAAAAAAAAAAAATATATATATATATATATATGAAAATGTATTTCTACTTACCGTAATTTTCTTTTCCTAGTCACAGGCAGCACCACAATGACTAGCTCCTCACATCCCAAATTAGACAGGAACCTAATTAATATAAAGACATAAGTACCCCCCCTCCGTCAACTCAGTCTAAGTTCCAAGCCAAATACCAAGGAAGTCCCATTTTCTGGATAAGGCATCCCTCATTATAGCTTGTATGTCAAAGGTTTTTGAGAAGTATATTGACACTTTCGTTTTTGTGATTCACCATGAGATCCACCTGAGGAATCCACCCCATCTGTTCACAATCTCCTGAAAGACCTCACTTGACACTTTCACATAGATCTATTCTTACACTGGCCAAGTAATTTGATATGGAGTTCTCTTGGCCTGGAAGATGAACAGCTACTAGACCATGGGGTTTCTGTTAAGCCCTATACATTATAGCATTCAAAACCCTTACCATTCTGCGGCTCTTGGTTCCTCCTTGGCGATTGATATATTGGATGACTGTAGCATTGTCCCTCCAGTCTTTCACCCATTTCATGGCCAGGGAGCAATGAAACATTTATAGGGTTTTGAACATTCTAGAACATTTGAGAACTTATCCTATTATGAATCCCTTGTAAATGTTCTTGTTAAGTAGCCACCACAGAAGTGAACAATGTACTCTGGCAGTAATCTTGATGGGTTGGTGAAGGTTGCCTGTACTAAAATGTTGCAAGAATTTCTCTTGTAAAATCCACATCCTCCACTGAGCCCTTCTTGCCAATATTATTGTGGAGACATTGATCCCAGCAGGCTCATGACTTTCTCTGCTGATGTTTCACTGACAGCCAATATCTCTTTCATCTTTGGTTGAAGATGAAGTCCTCTGTCCCAAGAAAGCTGCACCTTACCTTAACTTTTTAGGTGTTAAGTAGAGCTACCAAATAAATAATCTTTTGACTTTTGGATACATTACTCTTTCAGCCGTGTCTCTGGGGAAGCCTTATGCAAAGATGCCTCTACAACAGAAGTGTATTTTTGTTGTCTGCAAGGATGTCATCCAAATAATGGTATACATCAACACCCTTTTTTCTTAGTACTGTGATTAACCTTGAACTTTGAAGAAGGTATCCAGAGCAGTGCTTAATCCAAATGGAAGAGCTTGAAGTTGGAAGTGCTGTCACTTACACAGCAAATCCTAGGAACTTCTGATGTTGAGTAGCAATAGGCACATTAAAATAAGCATCCTGCAAATCAATGGGCATCATCCATTAGCCTGGGAAAATCACTTTCAGAATGGATTGCAAAGCTGCCATCTTGAATTTTTTATTTTTAGAAACGTGTTTAGTCTGTGAAGATTCAGAATTGGTCTGCATCCTCCAGAAGCTTTCTTAGTCATAAACAGGTGGGAGTAGAACCTGAGAGTTTTCTCTTTCCCTGGGACTTTTATAATAACTTTTTCTTCTTGTAGAGCTGTTTTAAACTTGTGTAGCTGCGACTTGGAGGAAAGTAATTGAACTCCAAATAATATCCTTGTGTTATTATGTTTAAAATCCTTCAGGGTTAAGAATGCACAAGCAACTTACACACTAAATGGTAGTGAATTAGGGATAACCACATACGAGAAGGATTTGGGAATTGTTATAGACAACAAATTAGGCAGCAATATGCAATGTCAATCTGCAGTTGCTAAGGCCAGTAAGATTTTGTCATGTATAAATAGGGGCATAAATTCTCGGGATGAAAATATAATTTTGCCTCTTTATAAATCGCTGGTAAGACCACACCTTGAATATGCTGTGCAATTTTGGGCGCCTGTTCTAAAGAAGGATATCATGGCACTGGAGAGGGTCGAGAGACGAGCTACAAAATTGATAAAAGGAATGGAGCATGTTAGTTATGAAGAAAGGTTAAAAAAATGAAATCTATTTAGTTTGGAAAAATGGTGCCTGAGTGGGGATATGATAAATTTATATAAATATATTAGGGACCAGTAAAAAACCTTTATCTGGAAATCTATTCATAAACAGGGCTATACATAGGACACGAGGTCACACATATAGGCTGGAAGAAAGGAGATTTCATCTAAGGCAAAGAAAAGGTTTTTTTTACAGTAAGAGCAATAAGAATATAGAATTCTCTGCCTGAAGAGGTGGTTTTGTCAGAGTCATTACAGATGTTTAAACTGCAATTGGATAAATACTTACAAAAACATAACATACAGGGATATAATTTCTAATTAGTGGGGTAATAGCTGCTGGATCCAAGGAGACATCTGACTGCTATTTTGGGGTCAAGACGAATTTTTTTCCTAGTTTGTTGCAAAATTGGAAGTGCTTCAGACTAGGTTTTTTGCCTTCTTTTGGATCAACAGCAAAAACATATGTGAGGAAGGCTGAACTTGATGAACACAAGTCTTTTTTCAGCTATGTAACTATGTAACCCATCTGTCTTGAATTCAATCCTCCCAGGCCTTTTGGAATAGAAGCAGGTGTTCAGTCTCATGGACAGGAAAGGAAACTCGTTTCCTCCTGAGGACAGAAAAGTACCTACTAGAGGAAGATTCATTCTTTACAGACGCTTTCATTTTCAGAGATCTTCATACTCTAGAAATTAGGTGATCCATACTCGCTGGATCAAGAGAATCGGAAGACAGTTGCACTTCTTCCTCTGAAGAAAATACTTCTTAATATGATTCAGCTTCCATTGCGGTATCAAATGACTCATCTCTGAACCAGTCTGAATCTTCATATATGGATCTTTCGCATGTCTTACTGGCCTCCTTTATTTCCTGAGAAACCACTTGTTTGATGTAATCTTTGCTGTTGGTTTTATGAATGGCCTGCTGATGTTCTAAGGCAGAATATATGGCTTAGCTCAGTGATTCCCAAACCTTTTAGGTTCAAGATGACCATAATATTTTTTAAAAATTCCAAGCCGCCCCAAGTGAAAACACATTTCTAGGTTGTATATCTGTACAGCACTGCAGCACATACTGGCACTTTAGTATATAATGTACAGTTTTGGTGTTTGATTGAAGGGGTGCTTGTATATCATTTTAGTGTTTTAATACAGGTGTGTGCATGTAAGTAATGTTCACTTTTAAATGCAAATGTACATTTGTGTGTTGTATTGGTGTTTGAGTTAAGGGTGTGTTTGCATATAATTTTGGAGTTTGAATGCAGGGGTGTATTTGTGTGTAATATTTGTGTAAGATTGCAGGAGTGTGTTTGTATGTTGTGCTGGTGTTTGAATGCTTGGATGCATGCACATACACTGCCCCATACATACATATATACATACATATTAACACACAAATACATATAAATACACTGACACATACACACAAATTCATAGACACTGACACATACACAAACATCAACACATACACACACACTGACACATACACACAAACGCAAACTATGACACCCAGATACACGCACCCTGACACACACAAACACGGACACATGCACACACCATGGCACAGATACACACACTGAAAAAACACACCGAAGCACACCCTGAAACACAGATGCACATACACAGATATGGGCGCATACACACTCACTGACACAGATACACCCACTGACATATACAAACACAGATGCACACTCTGACAAACAGATGCACACACACACAGATGCACATCCTGACCCCCCACACACACACACACACACAATCACACAATATGAATACACAATATGAATACACATAAACACATACAAGTAATTTTTTTATATCTACAGCCATCCTCCTGTTAGCTTACCTTGTGTCCAGGAGGGTGGCTTGATTGGAGTCCTGGTCCTGCTTCTGGCTGATAGGAGTGAGGGGTCTGGAGCAGCTTTTCATGCTCCACTCCCCTCAACTCATGCTGACTCTGCCTGTGCGGCCACCTCCCTCCGCACTGTCTCTCTGCAAGAAGCTGGGAAGAAATAACAGGCTGTCACTTCCTCCCAGCCGGCCGACCATACAGGGGCCCGGTCATGGTCTTAAAGGGCCACGGCACCTGACTGGGCACCAGTTCAGCAGAAATGTTTCCTGGTGGTATGATGATAGCATAACATAGCATAACATTCCATGGCATCGTTACACACAGTTTGGGAACCGCTGGTTTAGCTATTACTCTTAGAGTGTGATCTTTTCTGAGAAGCAGATAATTTTTTATTCATATTGGCAACCATGGTGAATAAAAGAAGTGTATATAAAGGACCATAACATTTGTGCATATGTGAGTGAAAAAAGAAAATTAGGAAATGACCTTTTAACCCCTTAAGGACAAAACTTCTGGAATAAAATGGAATCATGACATGTCACACGTCATGTGTCCTTAAGGGATTAAATTACTATAGCTTTAAGAAACAAACCGATCGCTAGATGAGCAAACTTGCCACAAGTTTGCAAAGAACCTATTGAAAATCAATCAGGATCAGCTGAAGATAACTCAGAGGCCAAAAAGAAACAGTTGTGGTGCTTAAAAAGGCTGCTGCCAGGGGCGGGGCCTGACCGCAGAGCTGGAAACTCGACTCAGAGTCCTTGCTCCCCCCCCCCTCTGGTCCAGTGGGAGTAATCCCGGGCTACCCTCACATGATCCCCTCGACAAGCCGCACTCTAGCAACACAAATCTGTATATATTAAAGAGGATCCTATGGAAAGAGATATGCAAATGATTGCTGCAAAAACTTGCAGATAACTTGTGATTGGAGGACTCGAGATAAGGTGCTACACAATTAAAGAAAATTAATGTAAATAAAGCTGCGGGGCCTGATGGTATTCACACATGAGTACTTAAGTAGCTAAGTGGGGAAATAAGTGAACATCTTTATTTAATTTTTTTCAAGATTCTTTTGTTTCAGGAATTGTACTGGAGGATTGGAGGAAGG